CTCCCACGCGGTTCTGGCGAGCTAAGAAAATGTTTATCTCCCTGAGCCTGGCCTTCATCATTCCATTCCATCACACCTCCTTTCCTTTTACTCCCATGAAAACTAGGGAGGGTCCCTTCTGAGACGCTTCCCACACCGCCTCTCCTGCTTTTACACATCAGTTGTCTAGTCGGTGGCTCTTCCCCCTGTCTCCCAAGGTCATCCCCATATATCCTTACCCTAGATTTGCAGGAAAAAAGCATTTGGGGTAGTTTAGCCACAAATAAATTGAATATGTGCAAGCAGAAGTAAGAGACGCATGTATAATATCTGCCTAATGTGTGCTGTTCCTCAGACCAGGTTTGGGGTTATCTTAGTTTTGAAGATTCTGCAGGGTGTGGATTATTGGCCTGAGAGTGAATCAGGCTGATTTTGGTTCATTCTGGCTTTCTCTGCGGCAAAGACGGCGGCGCTTGACTTCTGAATTTTTCTTAAGAAACCTTTTAACGAAAAAAGCAGGAAAGCTGAAAAGCTGTCTTGTACCCCGGTTCCTGCTTCGGCAGAAAATCCAGCACCGTGGCGGCTGCCTGATGCAGACGGGGGAAACGGGATGTAAAATCAACGTGAGGAAAACCTCTTGGCAAGTCTAAAAAGGTTGAACTGAACCCCCAAGGCCCGGAACAGAACCAGAGATGCGTTTGTATTTCTTTTTTTTTTCCAAATGAGGATTTCAATGAAATCTAACAAGAAGCCTGGATTTTGTACCCAAGGGGATAGTCAGTGGATTTCCCTCTATAATCCTTGTAGGGCACCTTTGCTTTTGGTCTGTTTTTTGATGATGGCAAACCGCTTTGAAGTTGCTTCCAACGAGGAAGCGGGTGTGAATACTTTCGATAATAATAAATCAGCTCACTGCACCAGTAGGTGCTTGGTTACCATGGATATTGAGCATGCTGACAGATGGCTGCCTTGGGTTAACAAAGCAATTTGTGATCCCCCCACCAAGCGCTGGCTCCTTTCCCTGAAAATGGCCCCCGACTGTTCTCAAGCGTCTCGGACAGGTTTCCGGGCAAGCGCGTTGAATGGAGGTTCCCCTC